CACCTCCTCAGCAGGAGGATGAGCGAGTGATGTATGTTGACTCGAACATTGAGCCCATCTCTAGTTGCTAAGAATTCTTAGAAACAATATATTTTTATACATAAAAAAGTCAAAACTACAGTGCACTAGATTGCACAGAAGACCATTTCATACACAATTCACACATGAATGAGGCCAATAAGTTGTATCAACAGGAAGATTCAGATGGAAGCAGTGCTTATTCTTCTTCTGGCCAGCCTCGGGGGAGTTTGGGGGTACTTAAACAGAAACAGATAGGAGGGAACGTGTCTGAGACTGACAACCCTCCACTGGATGGACCCAGAAGTTCTCCTACATCTACAGATTTCTTTCAGGCTGTCAAACCCGCCATCAACCCCTTCCCTCATGATTCACTTAATTTTTCCACCAAAACACATTTTTCTATGGAGACCTGTTATAAATGAACAATTTAAAATGTAACCTGCTATTACTTAACAGCGTTATATTACTCTGAGCAAGAATTGCTTAATTAAAACTGTTTGGTTGTCTTGCTAAAGATGTTCTTCAGTGCAGCAGTTCCCACTTCAAAGGATGATTTGTCACACCCGTATAATGAAAGAACAAAGTCAATTCTTATGACTACTAATTTCTTCAAACATACAAAGTGATCCTAAATCATTGTATATGAGTGTGATGGCTTCCCTTCTTTTCAATTACTGATATTTTTTTTTATACCACAGGGATATTTATAGATGCTCAGACATTTTAGTGTTGAATCAATTTTTATTAAGTTTTCATAAAAGAAGATTCAGACAATGCACAACATAACTCAAACATTCCAATCACATTATTGGGAAACAATATGAAGGGGGAAAACTCTCGGTGGCACGGCGTTGACATCTATCCAGTGTCCAACTCGCTGCGTTTGGTTGATGTGCATGAAGTAAAAAAGAATAAAAACAAAAACAAAGTTCCGCCAAATCTGCGTGAGCACTGTGAGCAACATTCCGAGCAAACACTTCCGGGAGCACACTACAGGTCTGTCCAAGCCTGAGCTATTCAGACATTTTAGTTATGCTTACTCACCAATGTACATGGGAGAAATTAACAAAGCTTCCCAGTCCTTTATAATAGTGCGTGTATTGTCCACCACATTGACAAGACAGATAGATCTGTTTCCACCTGCCACCTGTGCCGTTTTCTATTTCATAGTGAAACATAAATTGGTGTGGTTTCTGCATCAAGTTAACAAGAGGTTCACAACAGTTTTAATATAGAAAATTTCCGCAGATCCTCATCAAGTTGGACCTAGCATACAGGATGTACTCTCTCTGCTTGTGCAACACACTACTTGGGCAGAGCATGCATACCTGCATAGAAGCATTGAACACCCCCTTCCCTCTTCCCTGCCTATATGCCTGGCTGTTAGCCTTGGCAAATGCATAGGAAGGGGGCAGCTTGCAGGCAGAGGCAGCAGAAGGAAGCAGCTTCAGCTTTCATCCTCTCTATGCCATGGCTGGTGCAGGATGTAAATATGATGATGTAACTTCCAGCAGAAATAAAGAAGAACTCCACCCACATATGCAAATCCACCTTCCCCAAAACCCCCTCAAATTCTTTTTTTTAAATTAAACACCATATATTTATTTTTTCCTCCTGCTAGCCAGTTCAGTGATGTCTCTGGCACCTCCTCTTCTTCCACAGCAAGGGGTGAAGGGCTAACCCAACCTCCTGGATCTTAAACTCCAGTCTGGTACCCTCCAATATTAAATGGCCAACCAATAGTTGCAAGAGGACCCCAGTGCTCACTATGGACTTTCCCAGAAAAGTCAAGATTTGCATATCAGAGTGCAGCGGTCCTCCTGAGCTCCTCCTGACCTATGACCTTCTTAGGCTGACTCAGTACATAGAGGAGGTGACAACTGAACCCCACACATTGTATGTACAGAGGTGGGATTATGGATAATCAACCCAGACCACCCAGTAGGCAGGTCTCCCAGGGACAATATTACATGAATGGGGGCACTTCCCCCCATAATGACATAAGCAACAGGAGAAGTACCACTTCTGGTTGCCCTGGTCTTCCCCGGCATGAGCACTGCATTCCTTACACATAAACAAGGCCAGATGCTGGAGAAGTATTTCAGCAACAGTGACAGCACAGTATTGTATTTCTTGCACAATATATAATAATAAATATTGCTGGATGCTAAAGAATCACTAAGCACATTTTACACTTTGTATCAGAGCAGTCATCTTGATTTATATTAGTCCCACTGTTGGCTCCTTCTAAGGTTTCATTGTACTCACTTTTTGGCATGAACAGTACTTGAACATTGTGCAATGATTCTGAGATTGCCGTGGGATAGAGGCATGTACAGGAACACGGCGGGTAAGCTAAGGCAGTGGAGGATATATAAAGGATTACATTTCCCATGTCAGTAGTTCTTCAGCTGCACTTTATAGATTAAAGCAACATTGAGGAACCTGGAAAAGAAATGAGCACAGAGAGCCCATTCTCATCACCTCAAACCTACATTGATGAGTTTGACCCTGTAGATTACTACAGAACATACTATCACCCTGAAGAAGGAAGTTTAATTGGAGAATGGCTTGAGTTTGCACTGCAGAACCTTCATGAAACTTTCACCTCAGGTAAGCGACTGATTATTAGCCTTATTTCTGCAAAAACTATCACTTACACTTAAAAAGTAAGAACATGGAAAATGCAATCATGTTGGGTTTTTTAGGAATTTTTTAATTGGATTAATTATATTTTTGATCTGTACTATGCTGATTATCAAATCTCTATTTGAATGTAATTATTACTACAAACATTAGCAACGTTCCCATCTTCAAATGATCAAATCTTCCTGACTTACAATATGTGGTGGGTCAGTCTGATGAGTTAGAGGTACAATTTCGTCAAATTTATATATGTACTGGAAATAATCATGCTATTGTGCCATTTTGGCTTAACACATGTTCCCAGCACACAGCAGTCATCCCTGTGATACCTTAGGTGGATTTCAACACTCCAGTAGGTCCTCATTCACTGTAATCAGCTCCCATTTAAAATGGAGAGGTGGAAAGGACTAAGCACAACACCAACTCAGTAGGTTAATATCAAGATTATTTTATTTTACAGGTCCAAACTGACAAGAACACTGTTACTAGTATTTCAGTATTATCCACAATGTTACCAGAATAGATTACAATTTTCCTGGACTCCTTTTTTTTTTTTTTATGAATGATCCCATGTGTATTTTTCTTTGTCCCCCAAGGTGGTGTTAAAGGAGACCTATTAATTGACTTTGGAGCTGGACCCGCAATTTACCACCTTCTCTCGGGTTGTGAAGCTTTTAACAATATAATCACTTCTGATTTTCTGGAGCAAAACCGAACACGGCTACAGAAGTGGCTGAGGAAGGATCCCGATGCATTTGACTGGACTCATGTTGTCAAGAGGGTGTGTGAGCTGGAAGGTAACAGGTGTGTAATAGCCGTGACTAGGATAATGTTCCTGACTAGGATAATGTTCCTGCGTAAAAGCTGTCCTGTCCTTTTCTCTGACTACTACCTTTTCTTTTTTGTAGAAGGAGGCAGCTGAAGTCCAGAAGTGTAGGTGAGATCCTTGTACCATACCATCTTACAGGACAGTGCTGGAATTTCCACTGAACAAGAGTGAGAATTTTCTGGGGGTCTAAACCTAGGTGGAACCAGCAACACATTTGTCACAGGTAAAATATACAAAAACACATTAAAGAAGAACTAACTCGAGCTAAAAATAACAAAATTAAAAATACATGGCCATTTAAATTAACAGAACCAGTTATTGCTGCAATATGTACCTTCAAATTTAGGATTTTCCTTGCAGTATTTTTCCTGCCACCACATGTCCTCATTCTGATGGCACTGGTCATCCTGGACCCGTCCCAGACTGTGAATGGACAAAGAAAGGAGAAGCCGCACAGTGATCAGCATATCTCTCTGTTACTCTGCTCTCTATTCCTGTCACTGTGCTTCTTGTCAACACATGAACTAATTGACTGCTTGTACTTTGTTCTTCCTCTGCTATACAGAGACTGCAAGGGGCTGATACCAGGTGAATTTCAGGAACTTACACTGCTTGCATTTAGAATATGCATGTAATAATGTATTAATGATTACTGTGCTGCAAAAATGTGTGTCTTTTACATCTGCCTAGAGTGCGGCTTTAAATTAATGGTATTTTATTTGCTTGTCCGAAGGCAAAACGCTAACTTTATAATTGATGTGTGATAATAAATGACATGTTGTGTACATATGAAAATAGTACAGTGCATAGTAGTAGCAGCAGTTTTTAGCACTGATATAGGATGACAAGTTTCTAACCTATCTTTTTAAAGTAGATATAAAACATAATTGGATGAGATTTCATTTGCGATGTTAAAAAAATAAAAGTATTTTCATCTTTTTGAAAAACGCTTAAAATACTTGTTTTTACTTTTATCCTTTGCTGCTGATAATCTCCTGTAGCCTCTGTGCAACCACTTTCTGTCTGTGTTCATGTACTCCAATGTAAGCTGCATGACATTTCTCAAGGTTGACTTCCTGATAGTGACTGACAATGGCAGAACATGTCTGTGCAATGTGCCTCAGTACAGCCTCCATAAGGCCCCGTTCACACCAAGGCAGTTCGGCTGTGCAGGTTTGGCCGCACTGAACCGCCGACATGAGCGATCCCTTACATTGCTATGGGGACCGTTCATGCGACTACCTGGCTCCACATGACCCGAAATGACCCTTTTTTTCCGCAGTAATCAGCGCGGTATCCATATAGATTTTGTTGGAATCGCGCTGATCAGCACGGTTTTGGGAGTTTTAATTGCGTATCAGAGCTGAAATGCAATAAAAAATGCCCAAAACCACCCTTTTAGAAATATATGTGCTGATCCGCAACCACCCTAGTGTTAACGGGGCCTAACACAAGCCTGAACAAGGACTTTTTTGGCAGGATGCCTAGGTTAATAAAAGCTGTACATTTAAAACAATTGTAAATTACGTTGGAAACGACTTTAATATGTTAAAGGTTAGGTTTTAGTGCCTAGGCGTACATCTATTTTAAATGCAGCTTTTAATGAAAGAATGCCTGGTGATTCCACCACGAAGACCTTGTTCGGGCATTTCCTGTTATGGGTGATAACTGTCCACACCAGCAGCCTCCCTGAACATGCACCAAAAGTAACTAACCCAACCCCCACCCATGGGTCCCCCACCTAGGAACAAGCATCATGAGCATTCCTCCTAACCCACCTCCACCCCACCCCCAGCCTTAGTCAATAATACATCTAAGGATGTCACTGTGGTCCACCATTGTCACTATCAGGAAGCTTATCTAGAGCAATGATGTGCAGCCACCACTGGAGCAAGTGCATGTAGACAGGAAGCTGCTCAACAAGGCTTAGACAAGATCAGCAACACTGAGATGCACAGATAGGATTAAAACAGGTAAAGTATTTTATGAACAAAGTACCGTGACAATTGTTTTTGATAAACAGCACAACTAAATGTCTTCCAGTCAGTGGCGTCACAAGGGGGTTGCGGGGGGTGACACCATTGCAGGGGTGACACCAAAATGACTGACAGTCATTTTGGTGTTACCCCCTCTAAAAAGTCAGGCACTCAGTCATGAACTGAGTGCCCGACAGTGTCAGGAGAGAGAAGGGGACCCGGCGGCATACCTCATCCCGCCGGGTGAACGTACCCTCCTCTCTCTGCCGGCGTCCATCACCAAGATGGCTGAGCATGCGCGATAACGACACGGCGGGGTGTCCCCCGGCCTCAAGACCCCCTGCTTCCAGTTAGGGTTTAGATCTACTTTAATGTTTGCAATCATAATAATCTACAGTGTCCTCTTTCAGTGACAGTGAGAGCTGTAAGAAAAAGGAAGAAACATTGAGGAAAAAAGTGACAAAAGTCCTGAAATGTGATGCTCTGAAGGAGAACCCATATGACCCGGTGAAGATGCCACAAGCTGATTGCCTGATCAGTTGCCTCTGCTTAGAAGCCCCCTGCGAAGATGTAGAATACTTCACAAATATTTTGAGGAATCTTAAAAATTTAATTAAACCAGGGGGTCACATAGTGATTCAGAGTGTACTTAACTGTACATACTACTATGTTGGTCAAAAGATGTTCTCCTGTCTGTCCATTTCTAAGGAAGAAGTGGAGATGGCATTTGAAGAGGCCGGTTACGAAATAGTGCAGCTAAAGGTCACTACATGTACTGAAAAGCAGAAGGATATCAGTAATTATGATAGCTATTACTTTGTCCATGCCCGTAAACCATGTTCATAGACAAATGGCCTATTAGGCATACATATGCAGCTCCTAATTGTTAATTTCTCCAGTTGCTTCTCAAATTGATAATATAATTAATAAAACTAGGGAAACAACATAGGTCAATGCATTCCTATGCCAAGTCTCAATTTATTAAAATATTTTCTTTATGAAATAAAATATTGGTAAACTGGCTGAGCTGGTTCCATAAACTGATATGTCCAAAACAGAAATAGTGGCATAAAGGACGCTGGGGAAATAATCACAGCTACAAATGGATTGGATCTGACTAGTGATGGGCTGAACACTGCAAGCACTATTTTTGCACATCGCACTGGACCGGAACGCAGGCACTAATGTAGAGCTAAATGTAGAGAGGGGAAGCTGTGATGCAGAGATCACTTGCAAATAGCCTGCTCCTCTGTCCTCCCCACCACCCCCGCCACCC